CAAGAGACAAGCCAAGAAGCGCCGAGTAGACACTGAATGGGACTAAACTATATACATAATAGTTTTTTGCCTGTTGTTTCATAATACATTTTATTTATATAACCCTTTTGCTGATTTTTAAAGTGTTACATAAACAGGACAGGTGAAATATTATCATGTAAAGTAACCATAAACACATGAAAAGACATAGGTTTACAATTTATGATTAAAACTCTATCTACACAATATACATAGACAAAAGGTAAAAACTTAAATATCTTAGAAACAGTGGCCAATCAGTTTTTTTGTCATATTTGGTGTTTGTCCTTCCCCAAGCACCGTCCGCTGCCACTGGCTACCTTCCTCCTGGCTTGAGAACAGCTCCTGGCTGCATGCATCTAGGGATTCTGCGGGTCTTCCTGCACCTCAGCACCGTCGCCCCCACTTTGCTGCTGCTCCTCCTCCTCCTCCTCCTCCTCCTGCCTTGTTGCACTGGGGTCTGAAGTGTCCATGGTGGTCCCTGGAGTGAAGGTGGGGTCGCCCCCAAGTATCGTGTCCAGCTCTCTGTAGAAATGGCAGGTCGCGGGGGGAGCACCCGAGCGGCCGTTTACCTCACGGGCTTTGCGGTAGGCATTCTGCAGCTCCTTCACTTTAATCCTGCACTGCAGTGCATCCCAGTCATGGCCCCTTTCCATCATGTCCCTTGATATCTGCCCGAGGGTATCGTAATTCCTACGGCCGGAGCGCAGTTGGGACTGGACAGCTTCCTCCCCCCAAATACTGATGAGGTCCAGCAACTCATCATTGCTCCATACTGGGGCTCGCCTGGCATGTGGAAGCATGGTCACCTGGAAAGATGCGCTGATAGCACTCCACGCCTGGCTGAGCAAACAGGAAAGGATTTTTCAAAATTCCCAGAGAATTTAAAGGGCGGGTCTGACGGTTGGTCACCTGAGGGCAGGACAGTAGAGTTCAAAGTGATGACCGGAGTGGCTAGCACAGACATTGTGGGACACTTCTGGAGGCCGATCAGAGCACACTATAGGACCAGGGCGTCCATACTGGCGCTGTGGTGCTCCAGCGGTGCCGCAGCAAACATTTTTCTACTCGCTGAGGTGGAGTACCAGCAGCGCTGTAGCCGCAGAGTCAGAACGCTCTACGTGCCTTGCCAGTGTGGACGGGGGTGAGCTAGTGTGCCCCCGCGGGGCTCCTTTATTGCGCTGTAACTCTCAAGTGTGGCCAAGGCCTAAGGGTCTGAAGGATTAGTCCCTCTCTTTGACTGTGTAGTGATTCAGATATTTCACAGAAGGATTTGTAGTTAGATTCCTCCCTCTTCTCCCCCCCCACCGTTAAATTAAAAATTGGTAGGAGGTGCGGGAGAGAGATACTTTAGGATTATTCCCCCCCGATTTAAGCCTGCAAATTCGTGAACTAAAATAACATCAAGACTCAGACTGTGATCCTGTGCTGTGCCTTTCACACCGCGAGAGGCCAGTTGGAAAGGTGGGGTATGGTGGCTTTTGGCCACCTTTGTGTCTCCTTAATTATGGGGTACTCTGGGACTCCTGGTGCAATTTAAACAGCCCTGGCTGCCTGTCTAAGTTATGTCAGCCCCATAAGCCTCATGGCTGTCTTCTGTAGTTCCTGTGCCAGGGGAATCCTCCCATGGCTGGACTCGGTGTTTGTGGGGTTCCTGTACATCAGTCCTGTGCATGTTGGAGTGGGGTGACAATCTCCCGCTCCTATTTTACACACAGTGAACAAAACATAGAAACTTGTAATATTCAGATTTAGCAAAGAGAATAAAATATCGAATTGTTCTCAGTTGAAAAGACTGTGAAAGTGGGTAGGTCCCACATCTGATTTTAAGATTTTTCTTAACTATCTGTGATCATAAGTGTTTTTCCCTTTCAAAACAAATGTTTTAATGCTTTCGAAGAGGTGTTTGCGTCAGCTCAGTGCTTATCAATATCCATACAGCAAACCAGTACAGATTCACTGGAGGAAAACATTTCAACTTCTATTTTGGATGGCTGGCATAAACACATTTTAATTATGAGAAATACCATGACCGTATTCTCTTCCCAGTTTTTTGGAAGATACTCATAATTTAGAAAATCATCCTATGTTCTGATTAACCTCTGAAAGAATATCTTTATTTTATTATTTTACTGGGGATATGGCAGGGAGAACGTGAACTCAATTATATCTTCATCGTAACTAACTTTGTACAGAATATCTATTCCATGGTACCCTCTTTTATGCACATAAGTGTGCAGCTCAGTAAGGGGAATTGAAAATAGTGGTGGCTCAGGGTTTGTTTTTTTTGTTGTTTTTGTTTTTCAGATATCTGTTCTGAACTGTATTGGTACTTGGCTAACTTATTTTTCCTGTTTGTCTTATAGGTTTTGTAAGCGCCACCGGATGAAATCAAGTTCAAATGTTCCCTGTGTCCCAAAAGACTTGTTGATGATGTCAGAACTAGTTCTTCCACAATTCATCTTTAGTCTTATTCAGTACTTAAGAGAAGGATATAACGAACCTGGTATGTTTGAATTTGCATGTGGATAGCATGGTTTATGTTGCTGTCTCTTGATAATTCTTTGTGAAGATGCTAACTTTAGTCTGTGATGAACCTAGTGAATCCTTTCCTAACCACATGTTGAAAGGATCAGAGCTCTGGTTTGGTTTTGGTTTTTTGTTTTTTTTGTGTGCAATGGGCCAGTACTTGGTGAGCTCAATTTAATTTTAGTCACTGACAAAAAAAATTATTAATGTGGAGTTAAGTTTGCCTTGCATTGGCTTGTGCCCTTCCTGTAAACAGAGGGTATTGTGTATTTCAGAGCACTTTGAAAGTTGAAAGCAGCTCACTTTGGGGTAGGCTGTATCTCCTTAATCTGACAGAACTATGCTAAATTTGCACTATAAAGTCTATTCTAATCCTTGTTGTGGCATATCAGATTTCATAACAGGCTCCCTGTGTGCATGGGTCAGAGAGATATGGCAATTTCCTGCAATATTCTTGAAGAATCTTATTGAATTAAGTTGAAGTATGTTTGGAGTCCATTATATTCAATGCCGAGTTTATTTATTATTGTGGGCAGAATTGTATGTAACCTCTTTGGGGGTGCGGGGGAAGAGATGGGATGTATGAGCCTGGGGAAGTGTTATGAGCTTCAAAGGACTGTAATTGAACAATGTAATTGAATGGGCCAGACAAGAATGGACTTTTGGAACAGTTTTGTGTAGTTTTCCTGAGGAATCTCTAGGGGAAAGTGAATGTAAATATCCCACTTTGTGCAAAAATCAACCTTTTGAAGCTACATCCCAAAGAGAGGACCACTGTCTGCTGATTATTGTTGGGGTTTCCCCAAGACCTCTTCTTCTTCTCAGTTCCCCAAGAATTCAGTTCGACTCCGAACTCATCACTGGAGTTTCTTTATTGGCATACAATCAAACTACTCTTGAGTTGATCAGTTTCTAGCATAGGGATGAGCGCAGGGCATACCACATATACATAGTTGCATAGCAGACCTCTTCCTTTATATACATTTACACGTTGCACTGCATTTACTGTATATTGCATTATATGTTTTGGGATTGGCTTGGTTACTTTGTAGGAACCAATCCCTGTGCAGCATGCTCTGTCTATGCACCGTCCATGTGTTACTTACTCTATACCTCATCTTTATGTTCCCGACTTCTCTTGTCCATTGTAAATGGCTTCTTGGGTATCTCCCTTGTCTTAGCTAGTACAGACATTCTGTTTCCAACCTGCTGATTCATTTACCTCCCTAATCTTTTCTCTCAAGACATGAGGCCTCACCCATGTCCAATTACTCATGTCAAGCCAGGCCTACAATTACCTGTTCCTGGAATCTGAAGATCAAAGGCCCAAGCTGTAGAAAGGAAAGACTGAACTATTTATGGTGTTTCTTGTTCTGAGTTAAGGCTGTTATGAACTTATAACCACAGAAAACCCCCTTTTTAGGGTTTGAAGGACTAACTCCTATCAAAGCTCTTGTTAAAACGTGGGGGAGGGGGTAATTTCTGGTAAGCTTACTGGCATGCAGGTTATTTTATTATTTTTAAAAAAAATTCTGTAATGCTTTCATTTTAAATTGGCTTGCTTATAAAGATCTATGTGTTTTTTGAGTGCTGGCAATTAGTTATTCATAGTCTTCGGAGAGAAAGCAAAGTACAGATGCAGCCTGGAAACCTCCCAGTCAGGAGAGAGAGAGAAAGATGTGGGCCACTTCCCACGAGAGGTGACTCCTGATTAGCTGGGAACCTAAAGTGGGTGCCCTTGGTGGACCGTGGAGGTGGAATAAAGATGCAGTTGCCCTGAACTATGATGTGGATTTTAGAGCATTTTGGAAAATTCTCTATTTAACAGAAAGCTCTGAATCAGTCTTAACCATCCTCCATAACACTAATTTTTTAAAACTGTAATTAATGTCTCTAGTAATGCTTACACACAAGGGGACAAAATTAAGGTTTCACAAGCAATTGTAATATTACTTTAACATAGCTTTTTGTATGTATTTACTTTTTTTAAAAAAAAAGCAAATTGAAAAATAGAAATTTCATCTTGTGGAGTGATATTGACATACACATGATTCATGTGGTTACATTTCAGTCAAATACGATTTTCTGTTGTATAGAGAGCTTATTTCTTTGAAAGTAATACACTGACAACACTGGCTATGGCCATTCATTTTGCTCTGTAAGTTCACTATGTATTTGTATTATTGCCTTTGCATCATAGTACTAACTTATAGTGTCCCTATTGTTTCAGTCCTGGATCTCTCTTGATCATAAATCCAATTGTCTAATGTTGTATGTTTGTCAAACGGAGATAATTCTTAAGGGAGACTAGACTGTCTATAAATACATTTTACTGGTGGCCTAACTAGTGTTTTAATCTGTTGAAATGTTCAGTACAATCCTTTGTTGAAGCAATACAAATGAAATGAAACAATTGTCTTTCTCTGCCTTAAACTTCTTTTATTGGGTTTCCAGCTCTTGATCTGCCATCAGAAAAAGACCTTCACAGAATCCTTCAGATGTTGGAGCCTCATGTTTCCTTTCTAGAAGACTTGACCAAAATGGGAGGAGCAATGCGATCAGTCCTTACCCAGGTTTTGACAAACCAACAGTTTTACAAAGATCTGAGCTCTGGTGAGTTCATGCATATTCCTGTTGTTAAATGTTTAAATTATTAGAAATTTAAATTGAAGCCATTTTTGTTCATTAGCAGCCCAGTGTACTGTATTCTTTTGTTCCGATGTCACCAAAAAGATCAGAAAAATAATTATAAGAATAATTATAAACTGACATCTGAGTTGATTGCTATTTTTAGGGCTTGAGAAGCCAATGGTAATTTTGCTGATGTAAGAACTGTGGAGTAGGGTCTTTTGTGGCACAAGTATTTTTATAAGGACATATAATTTCAATAAATATTTTTATAATTGGTCTAAGATCAAGAACAGAGCTGACTTAACTAACACTTAATTACCATAAAAACATATGATCATAAACGCCTCATATTTTATTTTAGGACCTGCTCTCATAAAGAATACCTGTTGCTGCCTAAGGCTGTGGGTATTCTGTTCAGAGTAAAAATAGCCTGATACATAAGCCACCTATTTTCTTTCTCTGATGCTCCCCCCTCCCATCCAGCCCAAAATGTTACACAGTCACTGGTTACGGGGACCTGATGCAAATGAACTCCCTGCTTTCTGTAGCTTGCTGCTTTCATTTTTGAGTCTTTCTAACCTACTTCTACATGACTGCAAAGCAGAGAGGAGTTACTCTGGCGTTAAGTTAGTGTAATTATCTTGAGCAGCTGTGGGTTAAAGGCGGGCTAAACTCTTGGACAGCACTCTCTTCTATCTTAAAGAGAAATACTTACGAATACTGCTGAAAAGTACTTTGCCCTGCTCTTCTCTCTCCCAAATTCACTTTTTCATGCTTTAAGGGAAAAGTCTTTTGGGAGCCAAGCATGATCTCTTTTGAATGAAAGAAGTTTAATAATTTTTACTCTGCAGGGGAAAAGCTCAGCCTGCATCACAGAGTAGCAGACTTCCTATGCATGTTGTGCTTAGGTGGAAGAGCCTGTTTTTTTGTTTTTTGTTTTCTCCCCCTGGGGGTGGAGGTGGAGTTGGGAGAAGGGAAGGATTGTGTGGAATAAGGAAGTATGCCTGCAGGAATAGGGAACATACCTCTATGAGTGGAGACCTAGTCTCCATGGAGGCAGAACATAGCAAGGCCTGAGGCGTTTTTGTGGTCCACTTGCTGCATAGGTTAACTCTGGCTGCAGGGAGCAGGTGGCCAGCTAAAAAGGATGTTGTCATCTCTGTGGCATTTGCCTTTTCATTGTTTAATAGCTTGCTTAAAAACTTGAAAACAAAATTATTTCCCCATAAATTTTTTTTTTTGCTAGAGAAATACTGATTTTTTTTTTCCCTAGCCGTTTGTCTTTGAAGATTTTAATTCAATGTGTGCAATTTATTTACTTCTTTGTGAACCAGCAACTTGGATGTGAGTGGAAGTGTCTATAGTTCTGGGAATAATCTTGGTTTACTGCTGCTGCAGTAGTCTCAACTCAACTTTATTTTTGGATCTCAAAATAAAAAAAAAGTGGCTGTTTTTTCCTGTTTGATGCTCTTAGAACATTCTCTGCCAAAATTTAGACAATTTTTAAAATGAGTTTTATATATCAGGCCTAATTCACTTCAGTATCCTTTTATTTCCACCAACTTGGGGTTTCTGTCTCTATCTCTTCCCTCCCCTTCCTCCCCCCTGTGTTGAGCTGAAGATGCCTGAAGTATTATAGTAGGTAGCAGTCTTGCTTCAACGGAAATGATGGGTGCCTTGATTAGAAGAAAAATGCTTCTTGATTTGGAAAAAATAACGGATCAGAAAAGTCTATTGTATTTTGGATTTAAATTCATCCACTGGCAAACTGACTTTGTGTTTGTTTAGGGTCAAATTTGTAGACTTGCATCTCTAACTCTTTTGTTCATATCTTTTTTAAATATTGTGGACCACTTTTTAAATTTTTAATCTTGTAAAATAAATGCTTTTGGAACGAATCTCATTAAGTGAGGCCTCTTGTGTTAGTACATGAGCTGAATACTTGTTTGTCTTTGCGTTAATGTTGTTTTAAATATATATTCAAGGTGTTGGAGAAAATGCATGTGCAAAGAAAAGTCATGAAAAGTACCTCATAGCTTTGAAAGGCTCTGGACTGGCATTTCCTGAGGATAAACTTGCATGTGGTATGCAGGAGCAAGCATCTGGGACTAGCACTTTAGCAATTCAAGGTTTGTGTAGAAAAACATTGTGGGTGGGGGGGAAATCTTGCTTTTAAAAAAAAACTTCTCTTGTGTCCTAAACAGTATTTGAAGTGCTTCATGGAATTAAACTATTTGTAGGGATCACTTCACATACTGCCAAAATGCAGGACCCATTGTAACTGCACCAAGAAAACTAAACATAATACTTCAGGAATAGGATGTGAACAATAATCCTTATCCAATCAGAGAATTAGTGGAATTCAAGTAGGCAAGATGTAATTACTCATATTGGAATTTAGGGATTGTAACTGGGTTAAATCCTTATTATTACAATAGTGCCCTGGATTTTTGATGGCCAGAAGTGATCAGGAACTCAGTTTGTCTCTTCTGAAAGAATGTTTTTCCACCAACACGGTGCACTGAAGCACTATGGTGGGACCTAATTCTGAATCACAAGCATCACTTCTTCAAGTACCCTGAATATCCCTTGGAGATCTCCCCTCCAAGTACTGCCAAGCCCAGTACTGCTTATCTTGTGAGAGCTAACGAGATCAGTATGAGGCAGTGTGGCTATAGCTGAGATTGTTTTGTGTTTCTTTATGGGTCATTACATCTCATAAAATGTGTCTCTCGTCAGTACAAGAATTGTGAAGGAAATCTTTATTTTATTTTATGTTTATTTCAAAAGGTTTAGCAGGCGCTACAACAACATCAGGACAAGGAGAGTCTTCAGATGAGGTGAGATTTTTTTTTTCTCAAAGAAATCAAATAGAAATGTAACAATATATAAACAGAGAGAATACTTTAGTCCAATCCTGCAAATCTTTAATACTCGGTGTATGTCTGTTTAGTTCAGTGGAGAGAACATCTGTTAGTAGGGATCTACAGGACCAGCTCCTTATGCCCTTGCTCCACTAAAGAACTCTAAAAAAAAAAAAAATCTCGTTGCTAATACTGCTTCAGCTGAACTGGTGTAAGCAACATAGATATGTGATGTCACAGTTCAGGGCAACTGCGACCCATATTCGCCCCTCGTGGTCCAACAAGGGCACCCACTCTAAGCTCCTAGGTCCTCAGCCATCATGGTTAGTGACTAAGGCAACTTTTTAGTAAACATTTAGTAAACATTTAGTCACATTTTTAGTAAAAGTCATGAACAGGTCACAGGCAGTAAACAAAAATTCACAGCCTGTGACCTGTCCATGACTTTTACTATATACCCCTGACTAAAACTTGGGGAGGAGGGGGCTGAGGGAGGGCGACCCAGATGCTGATGGGGGGATGGGTGGGCAGCAGAGCGCAGCCCAGGAACCCCACTGCTGATGGTGGGGTGGGGGTTGGTGGGGCCGGCAAGCTCCCTACCTGGCCCTGCACCTCCCTCCCAAACAGTACAGTTTGGGTGTGGGAGGGGGCACGGGATGGGGTGAGGTGGGCTCTGGGCAGAGCTTACCTGGGGGGCTCCCCGGAAATGGTGACATCCTCCTCACTCAGCCGCTACGGGGAGGCGTGGCTAGGCAGCTCTGCAGGGTGCATGCACGCTGCCTCTCCCTCCAGGCACTGCCCCCACAGCTCCCATTGCTGCAAAGCCAGTGCTCTGGGTGGAGGCAGCGCACAGAGCTGCCTGGCCACGCCTCCACCTAGCAATTGAGCGAGAGGGAGGATGTCGCTGCTTCCAGGGAGCCCCTCAGGTAACAGCCTCCTGGAGCCCGCCTCACCCCGTCCTGTGCCCCTGCCTCTTCCCACACCCAAACTCTGCTGTTGCTGAGGGGTGGGGGTGGGGGACGGGACGTGGGGGCCCAAGACTGCCCCAGCAGTGGCCCGTGTGACTGGCGCAGGGGCTGCCTGAGCTGCCCCTGAGCCAGGCGCACTGGCCGCTGCAGAAGTCACAGAGGTCACGGAAAGTCACGGAATCTGTGACCTCCATGACAAACTCGCAGCTTTATTAGTGACCCCTGTCTCTCTCCCTCTTGGCTTGGCTTTTTCTAGGCTGTGCACTTCCCTGCCTACACTGTGATGTCCCAGCAAGCCAGCCTGCCTAAACAGGCCAGCATCTGTGCTTTGTTTTCTCGCTAATGGCTATGAACAGTGGAATTGCCCACAGTTACAAGTTACCACACAGCTCTTCATAAGCAAGCAAATTTATTTTTAAAGTGAAAGCATTACAGAAAAAACATTAAAAAGAGTAAAAGAACCTACATTTGCTAAAAAACTTAACCAGAGGTCACCCGACTCCAGTCTTGAGCTCTGGTAGCTTTAAGTCCATAACTGGGTTTTCCCCCAGGTTATAAATTCATAACTGTTTCATATTCAGAACCAGAACCACCATGAACAGCTCAGTATCAGAGGGGTAGCCATGTTAGTCTGGATCTGTAAAAGCAGCAGAGAGTCCTGTAGCACCTTATAGACTAACAGACATATTGGAGCATGAGCTTTCGTGGGTGAATACCCACTTCGTCAGATGCATGTAGTGGAAATTACTGAACAGTTCAGTTTTTCCTTTATACAGCTTGTCCTTTGATCTTGGCCTCATGTAACAGGTGATCAACAGAAAGTGACCTACTCAGAGCATAGCTTCAAAAGGTTTGATATTTGCATAATTGGAGGTGAAGTATTTATATTTACCTCCCCCTAGATATTCCCCAGGAAGTTCACTTACCACTTTTTGTTGCAAAAGTCCATTCTTGTCTGACACTTTGTTCAGTATAGTCCTTTGAACACCCAGGTCTGTCATCTAGTACATCTCTCTCCCACCCCACCCTCAGGAAGTTACATACAATTCTAGCCCACAGGAATACATAAACCATTAATTTAATACCATAGGCCCCAAAGATACTTAAACTTAATTCAGTAGATCACCCAAGGATATGGCAGGAAATTGCTATATCTAGCACAGGTGGCTCTCTCTTTCCAGCAGTCATTTTCAGCATCATGTCCATTAGACTTGTTCTAAGTAGGTTTAATACAAATGATGCTAAAAGAGGTGTGAGCAGTGTTAGGCACTAGATATCCCAGCGATGCTAACACTGGTGCAACTGAGCTGGTGATAGCAACAGTGGGAATATTTTCTTATGTAAATTCCCCTGGTGTAGATCTGGCCTTATTTACTAATCATGTTTGGTAGGGAAGAAGGAGAAAAACCTATGTTTAGGTTAGCTGGAATCAGCAAAAAGAATTGATGGGGAATAGTTACGTCGCTGTAGAGTTGCTTTATTAATGTATTCTTAACTTACTTGAAATATTGTTTTTATGGACCTAATTTTTTTTACTAAACCTTGAACCGTCTTCCGGATGATAGCTTAGTCCCAGCTGACAGGAGCAGACAACAGTTATTTCTAACTTGTTCAGACATCTGAGCAGGGAGACGGAACAAACTTTTTAAATGCTTTAAAACATCATCGTTGGCAAGGACTTTTAGTTTATCCTGAAATCTATTTGAACAGGTGTAACAGTGAAAAATCTATTGTTTGTTATACCTACAATAAGTTACATCAGATGTTTGCCTCTGTTGTCACCAGCTCACAGCATGTTAAGCTCTCAGCAGTGCTATTTATAAGTTGACATTTTTCAAAGCACTGCTTGCTATTCTTTAACCATATCTTTACACAAACAAAACCCCACAATATGAAATAACAACTAGAAATACTACTGATGAGATATTAAATGAAACAAAAGAAAGTTAATCTTAATATTCTGAATTTGATTCAAAATGATGCTCACTCCTTGTTTGTGATTGCTCTATTATGAGGGAAGGAAATGGACGCTATTGTGGTAGTTTGGGGAGGGATCAGATATGGCATTCCTTTTGGAAAGGATGGTGGGGTGTGACTGGGGACTAGGGAGGTATACTGGTACGTGGAAAGGGAAAAGGATTTATTTCACTGCGTGAAGTATAGCAGTTTAAAAGGAAGGTTGGGGAATAGAATGGAAGGCTCAGGGGAAAGGAATTGCCTGGGTTAGTGGGGAGAGAATAGCAGCAACTGAAATATGCCTGTCAGTTAGTGTTACACCTTGTAGACACTTCATTCTTTCTTTCTTTCCAATCTCCAGTATAAAGCTGCAAATCGCCATATGTTAGATCAAACTAGCAGCTATGTTAAGCATGCAGTTGTTGTTTTTATTATTTATTATTATTAAAACTGAGAAATTTGGTCTTATGTGGGATCGGAGTCAAATTTTCAGTTACCGTATTGAAATGTAATCTCAAAGAGCATGGGTGGCATTTTCACACTTTATCTCAACCAAGACTTTTATTTAGAAACATCTATAGCAAGAAGGATTAACAATAAACAAACACAACCAATTTTAATTTATGAGTACACTTTTTTCTTAATTTTCCTGACATATTTTCAGACAAATTGGAGATTACAAGTAAATATGATATGGGATGAGGGTAAAAATAACTTCCATATCCCCTCAGTTTTTTTAGTAACTCAAAAAGAGACTGAAGGGCCTTTTATAAATGTGGGACCTGAAATGCACATTTGTAAATATAAATCCAGTTAACTTACTCTAAGCTACTTTAATAAACAAGCTTTTAACCTTGTTCAGTTTCTACAGTGCAAATTATTGCAAGGAAAATATTACTTACTTTTCAGTAACTCTGCATCAAGAACACTAAAGCAAAACTGCCTTACAGCAAAATCGAAAATAAGTTTGTTAGAAAAGATCGTGCTTTCTCCTCATGTAAGACTTTTTTATTTCCTGAATAAGTAGGAGTGGTGAATTATTCTGTCCTTTATAATTCTAAGTGTATTTTAGTTCATGGGAGATTAATTGGAGAGAGATGGCATTCAACAAGGTACTTTCCCTTTTGTATTTAGGATGAATCTAAAAAGATTAGTGTTCAGGATACATTGCTGTTAAACTTCAACTCTTTCCATTAAGATTTAATCCTCACCTACTGTGACATGGGAGACAAATAATCAGCACACATTTCAGTTGAAGAAAATATTTTTCAAGAAAATGATACTTTATTCCCCAAATTTGATCACAGCTTTCATCCTCTTAAATGGACAAAATCGCACATTTCATAAACTCTAATGAAGAATAATATATTTAACTTGTTTCTCTAGTATGATAGTGGGTGCAGTGTCATCTGCTTGTTAGAGCAGTAGACTTGGAGGCCAGGATCCAGCATCCTAACTCATATATCTGTCTGCATGTCACTTTCTCCTTTTATGCCCTATCTTTCCCATTTAAGTGGCGGTGATCATGTTTTTAATCTAAATTGGTTTCTGTAAGACTGGCTTGCTTGTTTATAAAGGGCTCTGTGCACTTCAGCTGACAAGTGCCTTTTATATATCTGAAATATTACTTTATTTGCTAGGGCTCTTCTAATTGTAACTGGCTGCCAACAAATTAAATTATTTCAATGTTGGATAGAAACATTTAAATTGATTAGAAAATGTCTATTCAATTATTTGTGTTGCCATCTCAGATTCATAGTTGTTGTTTGGCTGGAAAAGCCAGAAGAGGCCATGCGTGCAAAAAACAAACAAACCCAAAATAAAAGAAACACCTACAAAGGGATAAAAATTAAACTTCATAGTTACATGTACCGTATCTAGATATTTTACCTATGTAAACATTTTTTAGCAATTCGTTTCAGAAAGAAAGTAAAGTAGCCAGCAAAATGTAATAAAATAAGCAGTCATGGGATAAGAGGGAATGTTCTCTCATGGATTGGTAACTGGTTAAAAGATAGGAAACAAAGGGTAGGAATAAATGGTCAGTTTTCAGAATGGAGAAAGGTAAATAGTGGTGTCCTCCAGGGATCTGTACTGGGCCCAGTCCTATTTAACATATTCATAAATGATCTGGAAAAAGGGGTAAACAGTGAGGTGGCAAAATTTGCAGATGATACAAAACTACTCAAGATAGTTAAGTCCCAGGCAGACAGCGAAGAGCTGCAAAACTGGGTGACTGGGCAACAAAATGGCAGATGAAATTTAATATTGATAAATGCAAAGTAATGCACATTGGAAAACATAATCCTAACTAACTAACTAACTATATATATATATATATATATATATATATATATATACACACACACACACACACACACACACACACACACACACACACACACAC